CACACACACACACGTTTAAGACAAACGCTGGGGGATCTCGTGGTGGCAGGGGGGTCCGCCAGGCAAAGTTCTGGTGTCCCGTACACAGCCCTGACATATTCCATTTCATATTTTCCCATATTAAATCCCCCCCTTCCAGAAAGCGTCATTATTTGGACCCCGAACCCCTCTTCCGCTCCCCGCGAGGTCCAGTCTTTGAAAAAAAAATAAATGCATGCATACATAGCTTTATAGGCACGTAGATTATACATCAAATACACCGATTGATATGAACCCCTTTGGGGGGGGGGTAAATTGTCCATATTCTCCCCTTATTCCAATAGCCCTCTGGAGCAGCCTGCAAGGCTGGCTGTTATTCTGCACTCCCCACATGATGGTTATGAGAAGCCAAAGAGAGTGCATCAGCATCTTTCTTTCTTTCTTTCTTTTATTATTATTGTTGTTATTATTTTCTTTTCCCCTCCTGTCTCCCCAGCCAAACCTACGCAGGGATATGAGCCCCACACTGTGTGTTTCGTGGCTTCCGAAACTCCTGACGTTCTGCAACATTGCATAAACATAAAACAATCCATCCTTGATATGGAATGCAAGGGCGGATGACAGCAGTGCGCAGCCCCCTTGGCTTCGATTGATTTACGCCTATACTGACGCTTTATCAGGCACACGAAAAAAGTTTGACCAATCATTTTGCTAGGAGCTCACCACACAGCAGCCCAACTGTACTTTGTTGGCTAGGAAGTTGGAGAAAGGGGTTGAGTACAAATCTAGATCTGTCCTATATATTTTTTTCCCTTCATTGAACCGTGCTTTGTATGATGTCTGAGAATGTCCATTTCTGGAACTCTTAGCAATTATTATGTCGACTCTATTATAAGTCATGAAAGTGAAGATTCGCCTTCAGCTAAATTTTCATCTGGGCAATATACGAGTTCCAGGCAAGCTGGGCATAATGAGCATCTAGAATTCCCCTCTTGTAGTTTTCAGCCAAAACCGCCAGTTTTCAGCGCCTCTTGGACTGCTTTGAATCCACATTCTTCTGGTACCCTTCCTTCGGTCTATCATCCATATATTCAACATCAAAGCGTCCCTTCTGATAGCAGGTATCTACGGAGCTGGCTGGATCCAGTACCCAGAGCAGAGAACATACCCGGGCAGGGATCAGTTAAAGCAGAACCGCTGCTGGGGCACCCCGGGGAAGTGCATAAACAGGGAACACAGGAGTACAATTTAGAAACTTCTGCTGGAAGGGAAGGGATCGTTTCCACTCAAAGGCCCAGCTTCGAGGACAATAAAGTTTGTGAAGGAAGCGAGGACAAAGACAGGCCAGATCAAAGTAAGTTATAAAAGTGAGGAAGTAAACAGTATAAAAGCGGAGGAGGTGCAATAAAACGAGACAATGCAAAGTAAAGTTAAAATCATGTCTGAAAGAAAACTCTCAGATTACTGGTGCCAGCCTTCGGAGAGGGCGGTTGGGAGGCGGGTGGCAATGCCTAGAGATCTTTGAGCAAAATGTGGTCCAGGAACAGATGGGGGGAAAAAAGCTTTATCAACTGATTTTCTTTACCGATATGCATGTTCCTCTCTCCAGCTGATTTAAGCACCAAACCCATCTCTTTGCTAGTAAAGGGTAAATTCGACTTGAAACTGTGCGAGGGGCGGGGGTTGGGGGAGAGAAGGGGTAAATATTGGGAGGAAAAGGGGATTCGGGAGGGGGAAAGGGACGGGGGTTTTTTTGGAAAAGGGAGGAAAACGAGGGGAAAAGTTCACATGGGGAAGTGAACAGCAACTGTATCTATTTCATGCTGTCTGGTCTTTACCTTGAGAGATACAATTGTTGAGGGCTGGCTCGGTGCTTTCCTCTGTCACGCTGTCTTTGTGTTTGTTTGTTTGTCTGTTTGTTTATGAAATGCAACGTTTAAGGGTATGAATATTTCAAAGGCACGCTCCCAAACCAGGGCGAGGGAGATAGAAATGTAATGAGGTCTTTATTTGGAATGTAACAGATTGGCGAACACTTAAAACTAATCATGTGCCTCTTTCGTGACCTGTTTTCTGGAAAATGGAGAAATGCAATTAAAAAAATATACAGCTTTAGATCAAAACCAAGGACATGAGACGGGGGGGAAATCATTCTCGTTTAGCTTCTCTTAGGCTGGTTTTTATGTGGGTTGCTTGCAAGGTAAAGCGGAGCTGGTCTCAGAGCAGGATGAAATAAGGCACGGTTCAGCACCGTTGCAAATATTTCGCATTGAATAAACAAGTTTTTAAACCGAACTCCTGGCATGCTCCAAGAATAGAGCTCTCCAGATTGTTTATATCTATATTTATGTATGCATGCACAGATAATCATCCCCCCCCGAATTCACTTTATTTCCCCCCTCTTTTTCATAATTGCAACTGAGTTTGCAGTTGCAGCCATGCGATTAAAAATAAAGGAGCCCTTTATTTCTCGTCTTGCGATTTGCAAAAGTGGCATTATTTCTATCCTGTAACCTATACCGTGCACACACACATATAGAAAAAAGAGAGTCAGTTTTTTTGTTGTGCTGGGCAGAGGTCCAGAACAAACTGCAACCCTGAGGTGAATGATTTGAGAGAATTAAATATCCAGGTTGTGTGCTCAATGTCCCTGAAATTAAATATGTAAAAATCTTGTCCAAGAAAACGTTATGAAGTTATAAGTAAGTGCAGAGATCCACGTTAAGAGGATGCTATGTGGTTTCTATGGTATGTGGTTAAGACGCATATTTTGTTTTAAATAATAGTTCAATTTTGGCTGATGTTGAGAGAAAGCCAAAAAAATGTCTATCTGAGTACTGCAGGAGGGGGCTGTTTTGCAGAGAGCGCTCGCACCAATTTCAGCGACTGTTTCAATTTTTGAAAGTATTTCACAATAATTAATCTGTGCAGGGTAGCTGGCAACTCAAGGTTTTAATTTACTTGCTAGATGTTGAAGGGTAAGACCTGCCAAAAATCCTTTCTCATTTGCTTTCCTGTTTAGGGGTTTGTGTACACTTAATAGATAAACCTATTTTCCTGTAGAAAATGTCATGTTTTTCTAACGATCCGAGATATCACAAAAAAAGGATCTTTTATGAAGAAGAGCCTTCCATTGCCATTAAAAGAAAGGTAGCAGTATTAACAGTATCAATTATTAACAGCATTCTTCCTCTTTAATATTTAATTCTGCATATTAGATCAAGTCAATTACATTAAGGAAGTAGCCGTGCAAATTTGTAAGATGCAGTACTTACAGTGGAAGATTAACCGGATTATTTTTAAAATATTCAATACATTTCATTTTACTGTAGAGGAAACATTCTGATGGTATATTTTTTTATCATGCTCCATTTAATTGGTGTAAAGGTTTATGGCTTAAGCCATCATTCCAGGAGAAGCAAAGGAAGCAAAACAGAAAAAATGTGGTCTGCCCAGAATATGCTTCATGTTATTCTTTCCCCCTCCCCTTCTCGGTTACCTAACGATCGGTCAGTTAATGTTTACATGAACAAGGAAATGCCTACAATGCTTTTACCCCCCAAAAGCTGCCTCAGCACACCTTTTTGTGACGAGTTAACCAGTCTACTTGGTTAGCTGCTGTGTGTAGCTAGTACAAAGTGTCTGGAATATTGGACTAATATTTAATGGCTCTGATCTTCCTTCTAAAGATTTCTTCCCCCTTTCCCCTTTTTTCCCCCCGTGTTGAGACCAACGAGTGTTTTGAATGTTCCAATTTCCCATTGAGGGCAGAAGATGGGGGCGGGGGAGGGAGGGGGGTATGTTTACTGCATTACTTAAGTTTAGAGAACACCGCTGCAAATGCAAATGTCTCTCTTGATAATACTGACCAGATCACTGGGAAGAAGCCCTTGAGCCCTTATAGTAGCAGGACTATTTCTTGCCACTTAGCCAAAAAAAAAAAAAAAGAGAGAGAGACATGATTTATTAAAGGCTTTATTCAGAAGTAATCTGTGTATGTATTCGTACCCTGAAATACATGCCGGTAGGAATGGATGGACAGATCTGCACACAAAAAAAAAATGTCCTGGCCAGTGCTGTATGTCTGGCGTTGGGTTCACAGGATAGACAGCCATGCAGATGCAGGCCCCGATCCTGGCCACACTTGAGCACGTGCTGAACTTCCCCACTCTCGAGTCCGTGGGGAGACCTGCAGTTGGAAAGTCCAGCACGTGCTCACGCGTGGGCCGGATCGGGGCCATGTGCCTCCACATATACCGGGGTGCGTAAAACATCCGTGCTTTTCACGTGGCCTTTTCTTCAAACGCAGAACTTAGTGGGCATTTATTCTCTCAGCTGTGTATGTGTTTATGTATATATATATGTGTGTGTCTATATATACGTAGCCACACACATATATAGATATCCATATTCGTAATATCTGATGGCATTATTTATTAAGGACTTTCTGAGAACCGATCAGGATACACAGTATTGATCTTGCTGCTTTTCTTTCAGCCAACCCCGCTGCTAACTGGCTGCACGCCCGCTCCTCTAGAAAAAAGCGATGCCCCTACACGAAATACCAGACGCTGGAACTAGAGAAGGAGTTTTTGTTCAATATGTACCTCACCAGGGACCGCAGACACGAAGTGGCCAGACTCCTCAACCTGAGTGAAAGACAAGTCAAAATCTGGTTTCAGAACCGCAGGATGAAAATGAAGAAGATGAACAAGGAACAGGGCAAGGAGTGAACCACAGCAAAGCCCCTCTGCCCCCTCCCCGCCCCGCGGTCCACTCCCTAGGCCCCTTTCCCAGCTGATGCTGCCATCCTGCCCCAGTGCTGAGAAATAAACAATGACCGTGGGCTTTTTTGTTTGTTTGTTGCTGTTGTTGTTGCCACCTTTGCATGGGAGATGTTCATGAGTCCTTCCTTTGATCCCCCCTCTCCGACCCCTAGTCCCTGCCCCAGCCCCTCCGCTACATGGGACACAGGCTGGGGGGGTGCTCTTGCTTGTGTCTCCTCCTGTGTAGTATGGCCATCGGGCTGCGTGGCCATCAGGGCTACTGCTGGGTCGCGATCAGGGTTTTAAATACATATTGGCCTCTCTATCCTAAGTGGAAGACAAAACAACAACTTGGTCACAAGCAGAGCCAGCCCCTGTCCCGGCCAGACCACGCTGCCTTGCTGTGACCATGTTCAGTGAAGTGATGGTGTCTGTCTACAACACCCCCTATCTCTCTCTCTCTCTCTCTCTCTCTCTCTCTCTCTCACACACACACACACACACACACACACACACACACACACACACACACACACACACACACACGAGTTGAAGTGGCAAAAGAAACCAGACGATTTAATTAAACTACTGGAAGACAGACACGTTCGTAAGGCTGCTTTTAATTGCATCCAACAAATCATTTTCAATTCACCAACTTTCCACCGGTGCATTCGGATCCCTGACACTGAAATATCCCACTGCGCCCTTTTTTATATTATTCTTTTTTTCTTTTCTTCTTCTTCTTCTTTTTTTTTTGAAACCGCGCAGTGGCAGATACGTGACTTTGACCAGTACAAAAACCCGGAGTAGAATCTTTTCCCAATAAACCTTCCCACGTGGTAGTTTTATACTGGATCGTGGGGGGTGGGAGGAGGAGGAATGGGAGAGGGCTTTCTCAGATTAAGACTGTAAATTGTTTAGCAAAATAAAAAAATAATTAAAAAAAAGGAAAAAAGAAAAAAAAAAGGAAAAAAAAGTCCCTCCCTATCAAGCATCCCTAACTCCTAGAGGCGAGAAAAATCGCATTTTTTCCTAGTTTCACACAATAAACTACCTTAGAGAAGCTATCCCAGAAGGTAAAGGCTGTGTTTTTAGTGTTAGCGTATTTATAATTTATTGTGCAAGGACTTTTCCTCGAGAAGGAGATGGCTGCAGAGATAACAGTGCCCAGCCCGGGGTCTGGAGACTTTCCCTTCTCTTCCGAGAAGTTCCTACTTGAATGTCTTCGTTTGCTCCGGGAGAAGCGAGTCGGTCCCCGTGTCTCGCCCCAGCCCTGCTCACACATGGACCCCGCCAGGACTCCCCCGCTCCATCCTCACCTTGTAACTAGCCGAGGGACCTCGTGAGGGCTGTGATTGTCTTGTGGTTTATGATTAGTATGATTTTTTTGGTTGTTGTTGCTGAAGTGCATTTAATGTAACAAATG